CATTATTATTATTATCATTATTATTTTCATTATTATTATCATCATTATCATTCTCATTATCATTGTTATTATCATTCTCATTATCATTATTATTAACATTATTATTATTATCATCATTTTCATTATCATCATCATCATCATCATTATTGTTGGTGTTACCATTATCATTACTGTTATTTCAAATGATGATGATCTTCAAAACCATTATCGTTTTTACAAGAGCATTCTCATTATCATCATAATGAGAATAATAATGATAACAACAACAACAACAACAAAACAACAATAATAATAATAATAATAAAAATAATAACAATAATAACAGTAGTGTTATAATATCATTACTGTCATCATTATAAGGATCATTAACATTATCAATGTTATTGCAATTATCATCATTACTACTATCAGTATTACCAAAATCATTATCATCATCACCATCATCATTAATGTTAACATAATTATATTCACAATCGTTTTCATAAGTGTGTGTGTGTGTGTGTGTGTGTGTGTGTGTGTGTGTGTGTGTGTGTGTGTGTGTGTGTGTGTGTGTGTGTGTGTGTGTGTGTGTGTGTGTGTGTGTGAGTGAGTGAGTGAGTCAGTAAGTGAGTCAGTGAGTGAGTGGATAGGTGAGTGAGTGAGTGAGTGAGAGCGTGTGCGTGTGTTTGTAAGTGCGTGTATGTGAGCGTGTGCACGTATACACGTGCTAAGATAACCATTGTTTCTACCACCTTGTGAGCTAATATTGAGCAATTTCAGTAATCAGAACAAAGTATTTTTACAAGATATTTTTCTTAACATAGTAGTGTCTTCAATATTATTTAAATTCCTGTTGTAACATAAGCGGAATTATGAAACCCACACGCATATAAAAAAGTCTGAAAAAATATAGGAAACAAAAGATATAGAAAAAGAGACGATTATTTAATCTTAGAGAGAAAATTAGAAAAAAAAGAAATAGATGATTAAAAGATTAATATAGAAAATATAAAAATGACAAAAATCTTGTCCTAAAAGCAAACAAACAACACAACAAATAAAAACAAAGGATTACATAAAACAAACACAGACGAAATATGAGGCAAAAATCATACACTTTTAAGACAAACAAAGAACAAAACAAAAAAATCCTACATATATATAAACAACAAAAAAAAAAGACACAAAATGAGAAATTAATATACTACACTTTTTAGAGAGACAAGAAACAAAAAAGCCGACATATTTATACAAACTGAAAACAAACAAACAAACAAAGAGATAAGAAACAAAGAGGAAAAGAACAAGTAACAAACAGCAAACAACAATAAAGAAAAAGTCCTTTCCCGGCGCCTTCCAGAGGGCCGGCCTCCTCCTCCTTCCTCCTCCTCCCCCTCCTCTTCCTACCTCTCTTCCTCCTCCTCCCCCTCCTCTTCCTCCCTCTCTTCCTCCATTTCTTCCTCCTCCTCCCCCTCCTCTTCCTCCCTCTCTTCCTCCTCCTCCATCCTCATCCTCCTTCCCATCCTCTTCCTCCCTCTCTTCCTCCACTTCTTCCTCCTCCTCCCCTCTTTCCTCCTCCTCCTCCTCTCCCTCCTTCTCCATCACGACCTCCTCCTCCTCCTCCCCATCCTCCTCCTCCTCACCATCCCCCTCTCTCTCGCCTTCTCCTCCTCCCCCCATCCTCATCCTCATCCTCCTCCCTCTCTCCCTCTCTTCCTCCTTCCCCACCTTCTCCTCTCCTCCTCCACCTCCCATCCTCCTCCTCCTCTTCCTCTCCTCCATCCACCTCCTCCTCCCATCCTCCACCTCCTCCTCCTCTCTCTCCCCATCCTCCTCCTCCTCCTCTCTCTCCATCCCCCATCCTCCTCCTCCTCCTCCTCTCTCCAACCCCCATCCTCTCTCCTCTCTCTCCATCCCCCATCCTCCTCCTCCTCCTCCTCCCCCATCCTCCTCCTCCTCCTCCTCCCCCCACCCCCATCCTCCTCCTCCTCCTCCTCCTCCTCCTCTCTCCATCCCCCATCCTCCTCCTCCACCTCCTCCTCCTCCTCCTCCCCCCACCCTCCCCCATCCCTCTCCTCCTCCTCCTCCTCCTCCTCCTCCTCCTCCTCCTCCTCCTCCTCCTCCTCCTCCTCCTCCTCCTCCTCCTCCCCCCACCCCCACCCCCATCCTCCTCCTCCTCCTCCTCCTCCCCCCACCCTCCCCCCATCCTCCTCCTCCTCCTCCACCTCCGGCAGCCAGTCAGTCACCAGCCGCGCGAGGGAAAGGATGGCGCACCGTGAGCTCCTGGAACAATGTCTCGTGGATTTGCACAGGATCGGCGTGGTCAAATTTGGCAGTTTCACGTTAAAGAGCGGCATGCAGTCCCCGATCTACTTCGACCTGCGCATGATCATCTCGTACCCGAAAATCATGGTAAATTTTGGCCTAAGAAAGAGAGAGAGAGAGAGAGAGAGAGAGAGAGAGAGAGAGAGAGAGAGAGAGAGAGAGAGAGAGAGAGAGAGAGAGAGAGAGAGAGAGAGAG